TGTTACACACAAAGATTACCAGAGGCATGTCCTCACATTTGATCTGTTCCTGGTTTTGGTGTGGTTTAACAAGTTCTAAATCTGAACATCCCCTATCTTGACTGAATTTTTCTCATCACCTTTTAAAAACATGTTATGATATAATCCCAGGTTCAGCAAAGTACTCGCATTTATTTACTCTGATGTTTCATGGATTTAGGATTCATCTTTCCAAAAAAATCTTTTTCATCCCCTCCTGTTCAAAGATGCAGGGCATCTTCAGCCTACCTTTAAGCGTCAAGAGACACAACAGCAGCAGCCAATATCACAATGGCTAGCACCTGTATGGCCTGTTACTCTGACCGTGAAGGTTATTAATTGCTAAAACTTAGTCTTCCGGAGGTGTCCTTGACTGGTGCTGCAAACTGCTACACATCCATGGACTCCAGAATTCATATGGTGCCCCAGGGAAACGTCCCCTTTTTCCACATTCACTGACTGTGCTATCATCTTAATGTTGACGTGATGCCACAGTCTGTTCTTCAAACAACATCTGCGTGAACCATTTAAATGGGTCAGGCTGAAAATATTTTTAGTCAGCATAGCTAATATACACTTTACCAACTTACTTTTGTCTCCTTGCAGAGAATAACATTTCATATGAAATATAATTACAGGTCTACATTCTTTCCATTAAAATAAACCAAAGCCTTTTTAGAGATGAAATAATTTTAATTTCTTTTTTTTCTCTATTTTTAATATACATATATGTGTACATAAGTGTATACACACATATGCTTTCCGTATTTATTACTTAGCATTGGTCATGTGATAACATAACCAGACTGATTCCCATTGTGCTGTGCACTGTACAAACATAACATAATGTTCAACATAATGTTCATTCTGTTTCAAAGATGGAGCAAGAGGTGTAAAAGACATATGAGAAGGAAGAAATGAAGGAAGATAATTTGGTAAGGTGTATTCACATCTTATAATTTCAGGCATCCTAAGCTCACTGGCCAAGTCAGTATTTACTGGCTAGGCCCATATTTTCCTCTGTGGTGAGTGGAGTATATAGGTTCCTGCCCGAAATGACCTTCTGGAGAAGCTCACCTCAACACCTATGACCCAACTCCTGACAAAAACAATTTTCATCCATTGACTGTAGGGACAAACCCAAGAGACTCATTGTCTACATTAACTGGATAAATCAGATGACTAAGAGGGAGGAAAGGAGGGAGCTGTACATGGATACACCTAAGAAAACACATCTCATAGGAAGCATGTAATAGTTGACACAAAGGTATAAGCACAGATGTCAGCTTGCTGTTACCAGCTTATACTTTACAGTATGCATTATCACACTGCTCAGTTTTGAGGAGTGGCTGAAAGAACTTTGTAATTTATACATATCAGCTTGGAAACTTGCCTTGACTAAGTGGCAGCATAGAAAAAATATCAGTTGTGCAACAGAGAACAGGTGACCAAGCTGACAACATCATCAGTGCAAAGGGCAAAACTATGTTTGCTAGATAATAAACCATTCAGAGCAGATAGGACTAAATGTGGAAAGGAAACTTTGAAAATTATAGAAGTTCATAGTAAGAGGTATTGATTGGTAAGGGTATGAGTTAAGGGAAATCCAAGAGTTTCACACATTACCTTAAAGTTAAGGTAATCTATGAAAATTTGACTGTAAAAGCAGCATTTTGAATAGATACAAGGGCTGAGTCAAGGTTACAGTATATAGAGCTGTAGATTATCAGAGCTTGGGTCTGAATTCTGAAAGCTGCAAACCGAAGCCAATGGTGAAACTAGAATTGGAGTCCTGAAGAGATTACAGAGAATGAGGTCGTGGAAGAGAAAGGGGAATAAGGAAGGTTTTCACCCAGATGTTGAAAGAGCAGCTTCCAACATTCTATACTGCAGTTACTGGTTTAACAGTTACACGAATTATCAGAAAAAGAGGTCATGGCTTTAATTTACCCTGGAAGAAACAAACTCCGAGGGGCAGGTTTGTAAGTCACAAACACAAGAATGGCACTCCTAGCCATACCAGAAGATGAAAAGCCATGAGGACAGACAAAAGGAGGGTGCCACAACGGGCCTCGAGACATCCCCTCTACAAGGCAGAACCTGGTAGAGTCCCTGTGGCCGGGTGCTGCTATAGCTCACATGAACCAACCTGTATCCATGGATCTGGTTAGTGAACAAGAAACTGTCCAGAGAAACTGAAGAGGGATTTTCTTTTTCTTCAAAAAGTAGTATTTCTAAGTTTTTCTAATACCTGACACCAGCGAAATTAAACCTCCCAGTAAATACTCCTCTGTGAAGTCTAAAACCTCAGGATCGTAAGAGGAGGAGAAGCAGGAAAGTAAAGTTGACAGACAAAAGGAAAAAGAATATTGAGATGCAAAAGTTAATTGTGACACCTAAGAGCTCCATCATTTTCCTTCATCCATTACAACATTAAGTGAATAAAATGTCTGTGAGGGGAGTTTTTACATTGGTGTAAATATGTCTTTCATCACTGTCCGCAGAATAGTACAGGAAGTTAAAGGAGGCCTTTTAAATAAGTATTTTATTAAGTGCCTCCGGTAAGTGTATATTCACTTATATTTCTTGCATGTTACATACACAAAATAATTAAAATTCAGGACTTTTCATCAACATCTTTCACCTCAATTTTAAAATGGAAGTAAAATCTTAGCACAAATGATTTCTGTAATGATAACGATAATTTTATAGAAAAGCCACCATCGAGTGTTAAGCATATGGTATCTTAAACTATTCCTAGACGTGCGTCTTTCAGCAAACAAAGGTTCCTGTCACCATTATCTCAGTCCCTGCAGGTACTGCTGCAAGTATTCTTATTAACTATTCAACTATTCATTTCTCTTCTGAATCTTGGTGGGTTTTCTGCATATGGTTAGACTCTCAGGTTCAAAAACTACCTCCTACTTTAGCTGTCTCATCTGCTTAGTGTAATTAAATTAATTCCCTTCTCAACATCACTTTAGAAACTTAAATTTATCAGTTACAACAGTATTACTCTGTAAAGCAAGCAATTTTATTAAATATGCCCTATCAAAAAGGCTGATGAATCAAATAGGCTGTGAATGATAAGAATTATTACTTACAGGTAAAATCAAAGAAGATCTGCATTTCTATCAAAACCTGACATAATTTACCCCTGCACAAGCAGACAAAAATCCATTTGCTTACATGGAGCAATCATTGTTAAGGCCAGAAGGGGTCTTGTCCCTGAAGCCATATTAAGGTTTTCTTAATAAACCGTCTTATAGGAATATATTTTCTTTAAAATGAATTTTTAAACATGCTTACCTTATAAAAATTCCACACTGAAAGAGATGAACTAGAAAAATCCATTTTAGCTTCCCAGTATCAGTACCTTCCCAGTCATTTTTAAACCACTCGTAACTGAATATCTGAGTTATTAATGATGAAAGACCTCTAAAACACAGTATCAATATACTCCAAGAATATTGTCCTTGATAGAAATATTTACTAGCTACCCAGAAGTCCACTCCAATATCAACTACGTAAATTAGAAGTCCACAAACTAAAAAAATAAAATTCTGCTTAGTAAATTTCATCATGCATCGGACTGTCACAGTTGTCATTCGCTCCTCACTTCATGTAAAGGAAAGTCAGAATTAATCGAAATGCTTTCCTACAGTGGAGTCTTTTTCCTGATGACACCGTCTGCTCATAGTGCTTTATATGCAGGAAAGCTGGGTTGTGTATTTTTACTATAGCGAAATGACTTGCATTTTTCTGTATTCTTGATTTAAATATTAAATTAACTTCATTGATACACATCTGTTCTGGAAAAGACAAATGTAAATTGACTTTTTCATTGGTGGAGTTATTCTTCATTACTCATTCCTAAAAAAAAGAAGAAGAAAATATGAAGATTAGCAGTAACAATGTTTTCTTTTGAAGTATCACACAGCAATTCTCATGACCATTTAAACAAGCAAGTACAAAATGCAGAATGTACTGAGATATCAGTGAACAATCAGCCCAAGAGAAGCTGCACCTCTGAACCTGCCAAGGTGGCCCACTCTCCCAACCACAGTGACTCTCCACTTACCAAGCAGCTGTTCAGACAATTCCTAAGAGTTGCAAAACACTAAGAAATAAGATTACCTCTACTAGTTTTTAATACCAGTTTATGGAAAAAAAAAATCCATTCCTTCCCAGCACTTTTTTAACTTCTGAGGCCTTCTCCCTTACTGTGCACAGCACAAAACACTGAGAAAACTCCTGTCCTGAGTACATGCCATTGTATCAGAGTACACATCACTATGTCATTTCTGACTGTGTTGCTGCATTGGTGTTCATACGTCTAGTGGTTTTATCATGTCTGCTTGTTTCTTCCACATGCAGCAAGCAGCGCTGAACAGGATTGCAGCTTTCCTGTCAAAGAGACTTGTAAGGAGCCAGACCTGAAGCACTCTGCACCTCTTCGGCAAACGTCTCCCAAGCTGTGTGAGTAGTAGCTAAACACAGATGACCTAACCCCATTGTCTAGTACAAACAGAATGAATTCACAGCCCGAACTACATTTACATTTTCTAACATTGCAAGGATTCTTGTGACCTCTTTGAGTAGTCCTTGCACATCCTTCCTCTGTAGACCTGTGGTATTTGCCAAGTGAACAGAAAAGCTGTAAGGCAGTACATTCTTTGCCTCATTCATTTCCACCTCCGCAAAGCCACAAACATTAAAATGACAAAAAGTCACTTATTTCATTTACATATCTTTGCAAAAAGCTGCTGGGAGCTATCCCAAAGGATGGGACACAGGACGTGCCAAAGCACCCGGTTCAGGCTGGTGCCGCCACCAAACAGCAGCAGACTATACACGGGGAACAGCCGCGCTGGGGAACTCAGGGCAGGGGAAGTGTGGGCGGAGGCAGGTCTCCTTTGGATTTTGGTGAATTTGGGCATGCTGCCACAGAGGAATGAAATGACACAGTTGGTTAATACCCCATGAACACAGCTTTTGAAAGGTAATGACAATTATTTGCTTGTGTTGACTGGGCTAGTCTACACTGTGAGCCAGGTACAAATCTAGAGAACTTAAGCTCTTAATTTCCTAATGAAGACAAGTGAGAACATAAAAGCCTAAATAGCTGCTGGGTGTCTAAACGCTGGTTTTTTAGATCTAGGCCTTAGCTACTTCTAGCCTCTTGTTCTATCTCCTACTTAGGTTTCGTGTCCTGGCCCCACAGAGGTCAGAAAGATCAGGCAATCTCACAGCTAGAATAGCTGGGATCCTTTCACTGTCCTTTCTTATTCTCTACAACAAACTACCACTAATCTCTTTCAAATCACTAATTCAATTTGTATCAAATTCACAGGCAGATTCAGGGAAGTGGACTTTGGTACAAAGTCCAGCATAGACTGAACTTTCTGTTTGCAAATGTTTCGTATCTGAAAACTTGTGTATGAACCAACTTAAGAGTTTATTACTCACATTCATTCAAGGAAATTCCAAGGGAAATTGTATTTACTCTATATTAGAACACCATGTCATTCTGCAGCTTGAGGTACCACCTATGTTAAGCTGCATCCTTCTTTGTAACAAGAACATTATGCACAGTTTTTAGAACAGATTAAAAAAAAAAAAACAACAAACACAAAGACCAAACCTTGAACAGGTTCACTATTTGACTGTTCCAGGAAACAAGATCATAAAAGATAAGTCAATAACTGGATCCAGACAGAAAGTTCTTTGGGTAGGCAATTTATGGCCAAAGTAGGCAGTATACCAAGGTTCACATTTAATGAGTACTAGACATTTGAGTGGCAAGGAGTAGCCTCTAATTTTGTACCTGAAATGAATAATTAGGATAACTGGATTCGTCCCTCTTTACAACCTCCCTATCCTTCTGTATCTGAGCACTTCAGAAAGAGGAATTATCTCATTATCATGTTATCCCTAATACGAAAGAAAGTCTTACGGTCTACGTCCAGACTCCTCTGAAACAACAGCATGAAGAGTAGTTGTAAGCCCGGTTATTTCTACTTCTGACACACGTACTGTCCAAACTGCTGCCACGCTGGCAGTCTGCAAACCTGTGTGGACATCTTGGTGGTATACGAAGGCATCAGGGAAGCCGAGATAAAAGAGGAGCCACACATTATCAAGCATGTCAGCTTGCTCACATTCTCATAATTATCTTGAACAAGGAATCTAGTCTTGAAAGAGCCTTGGAATGGCTGGTAAGGCATGGGGTTTATGTTTTGCTCATGTGAACCTAAAAAAAATCTGTCAGAGACTTACAAATCTGTATTCCCAAATGTTCAATGTCTTAATTCCAAGACCAAGCACAAATGCCTGCTCACAGGTGCACATGAAATCTCTGTTGAAGATCTCAGCCCTTAACATCCCCTATTATTTTATGCATGATAGCACTCCAAAGAGCACCATGGTTTCATGCGCCAGGTGGGGTACAATTAGGTGTCACAGAAGAGAGTGCCTTGTACCACTCAGAATTTTATTGTCCCCAGTCTTCCTAAACATACAAAGTCAGGCTGGTCAGTGCTCTGAGCAACTTCATCTAGTTGAAGATGTCCCTGCTCATTGCAGGGGGGGTTGGACTAGAAGACCTTTAAAGGTTCCTTCCAACCCAAACTATTCTATGATCTAACATGACAGGAGCTACAGGAGCACAGTGTCTGTCAGCCAACATAAGTATAAGCCTTTTCTAAAAACAAAGATACTTTTACAAAATCATATTGTGATAAAGCAGAAACAGTAAAATGTGATTAGCAAGGCCTTCAGTTCTCACAATACATTTAAAATGTGACTACAAAATGCAGACTTACCTTAATACTGGCCACAGACAGAGATTTTTCACTTTAAAAAGTTATAGATTTGCATATTCACAGGTTTCCCATCCGTACCTTTACAAGTCTTGCAATCCAATAAAAGTTAAAGGGCTTACAAATATAACAGAAACTGAAACTGAAGTCATGCAAACCACGTGACAGTTAATGATTTGCTACCTGCCAAGAACTGTCATTCTTAGGAATATATCATAAAAATTCTATTCTAAAAATTCTGTTTAGAAGTCCCTGTCTATATTTAATACTATGTTTAATATACTATAAAATTCCTTTCAATAAACTAATTTCACACTTTGCTCCACAAAAGTAAAAAAAAAAGTACCACTTCCCCTCCATATATGTATATATCTGCATACGCATGTTCAAACTTGGAATGTAGTTTGTTAGACTTGTTGAGCAAAAGCCAACAGATATTTATGGAAACATACATGTGTATATGTGTGTGTATATGTGTGTTTGAGGTTTTTTATATTTATTTATTTATTTTATATTTTTATGCATATATCAAAGATTTATGAAATAAGAACAATCTTTTTGGCTATATCTGAAAACTGTAGTACAATGCACTGGAAATCTGTACAAAAAGCTTTTCTATGCAATAATACATGAAGAGACTGCATGTGTCCAGGGACAAGTGATTAAAATTGTTTTCCTCTGGTAAAACTACAGGTGTTTGCAAGAGTCTGCTCCTGCTGAGCTATCAGCACTCAACACACAAATTTTATGCTACTGAGAAAATCTAGAGCATGTTTAAAAGAGCTGCAGGGTACAAGGAGCAGGTGGTGTGATTCAGCCTCTATGACCATGCTGCACAGGATGATGCATGCCCTCAGCCAGAGCACTCTATAGCTTCTCTAGCTCGTACGACAGGAGATACAATCCTACAAATGTCTTCACAGGGAACTTAATATCAGTGCTTGCTTTTACTTGCGCTCCCTCTCCCTTATAGGTTAGAAACATCCTAGCCCTAAGCAATTCTTTCAGGCCTTGAAATATCGTTATTTTCATGTCATCACTTGAAGAACAGAATCAATGGACCAAGTCAGTTTTCCAAAGCTAAAAAACCAGTGGCTGAATCCAAAGCAGTACTGCAGAGTGGTTCATCCCTGCAAGACAACACATTAGGAAAACACCTTAGGACATCAGTGGGGCAATGCATTATCCATAACCGGCTTCTGAACAGATGCAGCAGAGGCCTTTCTACCTGTGTTAAATCTCAGTGATGATTCAAAGGCAATAGGCCTACTCCGTGCATGCCCAACAAGATCTTCATAAGGGCTCTGAGCATCATGAACGCACTAATTAAAAATGTAGTTGTATATTGGTCCACAATAAAATCCCAGAGACTTCAGAAAAGAAGCAACTCAGCAATTACAGTGACACCTGTTCTGTCCTATAAATGATCAAATGAATAAAAGCACTGTGTTAAAATATAGATTTGTGGACAATATTTCTTTCAACATGGGCATAAGCTACTGTGTGCTTTTGCAGCAAACTGAACACCTGACACGAGCATAAACCTATGTAATCCTAGCCAAGAAAAACAAAAGGGATGCATCATGCCCATCCTGTCTTGTATTCCCCTGGCCTTGACTGTTCCACTTGCATAAAATCCACTGGAATGGACTGCACCTCTGGTTCTTCACAACCTTCACTTCACTGGGACCTCGGTGGATGAGACTGCAAGAGTAGCTGCAGACAAGATGAGACCGTGGCAAACTAGTCTACGGACTAGACTATCCACATTTAGCAGCTTTTACCAAGACTGCCCCTCTCCACAGGTCTTGGCCAGGTTTGAAAAGCTGCTGCTCTCCAGTACAACACAGCTTTCTTTTAACTCTTAAAAAATCTCCAGTGATCTCAGTCAATGATTAATATCATTCCTTTACGTATGATAAATATTCATCATCTGAGATATGTTCTCACTGAACTAAAAAAAATACACATAATTTAGCAGCAGAGTAATAAATGCATTATATACTAAGCTTGGTATATAGATTTAAATTCTTATAACTCCATCTCAGCATTTTTAAATTTGCAAGAGGCTTTGCCTAAATAGTGACTAAGTTCCCACAGCTTTAAGGGAAGGCATCTTAAATCAGCCAAGTCACAAACTCGTTACTGTGACCTTTGTTGTTATTAAAAAATGTCAAAAACTTTATAGCATGGAGAGAGAGACAATGTTTGTGTATCTGATTCTTGGACTGTAAATCAAGCAGCTCATGAGCTAAATTACTGTCTGAATGATTAATTTGTTTTCTAGTTACACTTGCTATCCAAGAAAGCACATCTCTTAAACTGTGACAAAAATCCTACAGTATTCAGTACACTTATTTGCTTCCAAATGGGCTAGTAAGGACCTTTTTTCTCTGCTTTGATTAGTGTTAGCAGGACATTGGATATTTTATCTTTGGAAGGTCAACTTATTCCAGACATTGGAAACTAAGGTCCTCATTAGGACTAGCATAGAAACAAACACGATGAAACACCAACCTCAAAAAACCCAGAATTTCTGAAGATTCATTGTGTAATTCTCTCTTTACCTTTGATACTTAAGCTTTGAAGTCAATAAATGTTTTTGCCACCAGTATTAATGGATGTTACAGAAGAAAATGCATGGCTTGAAAGAGCGTATTTGCCAATAACTTCACCTCAGTGTAACAGCTTCCTCTGCTTCATTAATTACTCCAATATACTTGTACAAGCTGTCAGCAGTTTTCTACCACTGCTGCTACTTGGTACCCTGCCACAGCAGAACCCCTGGTCACCTCTGCAGTGAACCCAAAAGTTGAACTCAAAAGCAGCATTAACATACAGATTTGGAGGAGAATCTCACAAAGCCATAGAACAGACAAGGCTTGAAGGGACCTCTGGAGGTCATCTGGTCCAATTCCCCTGCTCGAGCAGGGCCACCAAGAGCCAGTTGCCCAGGACCATGTCCAGGCAGCTTTTGAATATCTCCAAGGATGGAGACTCCACAGCCTCTCTGGGCAACCTGTGCCAGTGCTTGAACTACCTCACACTGAAAAAGTGTTTCCTAATGTTCAAAGGGAACCCCCTGTGTTTCAGTTTGTGCCCATTGCACACATTGTGGTCCTGCCACTGGGCACCACTGTAAAAAAGCCTGGCTCCGTCCTCTGTGCACCCTCCCTTCAGG